ATTACACAAATCTCCATAGCACTTTAAACAGACACAAGTGCGGCCAGACTCGATGATGTCGTTTTCAGAAGTGTATAAGAGCATGATAACAGGACTTGCAAAATCTCAGTCCAAAATGTATTCCATCAAAGTCAGTCAGGAAAAAATATCTCTAGAAACCCTTAGACCCAAAACACACATTTTGTCATTTAGATTCTATTTGCATTACCCACACAAGCTCAGTTTTACCTGTTTAAAGTACATCTAAGCAATTTAAAATGAAAGATGTAGATACATTGATTTTAGTGCAAAGCACATTCAATTACACATTTCCTTTCATGAACGATTACTTACTTGAGCAGAAATACAGCCATGCAAAGTGTGAAGCAGAAACACTGTCAATGTGACAATTCTCCAGATGTGGTCATTAATGGAGGACTATGAAGGTACATTTTCAAATACCTGTGTAAAGCTAATTCTGCATATGCTCTAATGACAACCAACTTGAGTCAAGATATTGTTTTAACACATCAGATACTGGCTGACAAAAAGACATTATGCAATATAAATATAGCCAAAACATTTATTACCTGATCATGTTCCTGTAAAAATGTAGTATTATTAGTGTAATGATTTTTCAAGTTCAAATACAGTGACCAGCATCTTGTAGCCACAATAATTTGTTGCTTTAGCTGCATCAGAAACACTGATTTGCCAGACAAGAGAGTGGACGGCATGCAGATTTCCATCTTAAGCAAAAGCTGAGCATCTTCTGAACAAACTGAAATCATTAACAATTAAAAACACCTGCAAATCAACACAATGTTGGCAAAAATTATATATTCATAGAATTTACATATAATGTCACAACTATATACAATAAACTGGAACTCTGATGCCGAAAGCGGATCCCACAGCACCCTCATCTCAGTCCAGTCATTTACTCCACAAGAGGGCCACAGCTTTGCAAATCCCCACGTCATGGTAGTTGAAGTAGCACAGGCCGGCGAAGGTGACGGTCGACAGAAGGAAGAGGCCAGCATTAGCCATCTTGATTTTAAAGTCTCCGTGAACGTAATCTGTCACAATCTGGCCAAGACCCCTGAAAAACACACAATAAAATGCAATGCCCTTTTTTTAAATAATGGCTGTTATGGATATTCATGTTACAGGAATAGTAAAAAGTGAAAATTTGCTTAAGGTTTACTCACTCTTGTGCCATCCAAGGTGTAGATGAGCTTGTGTCTTCATAGCAACAGTTTTGGAG